GCTGTGCCAGGGCTGGACAACCCTTTCCAGGAAGAATTTTTCCCTAATATCCAATCTCAACCTCCTCTGACACAGTTTGAGGCCATTTTCTTCTTGTCCTGCTCCTCATTCTCTGGGAGATCAAATCCCCCCATCTCCCCCTCCTGTCAGGGAGTTGTAGAGAGCAAGGAGGTCCCCCCTGAGCCTCCTTTTCTCCTCTGTTGTTTAGGAGGAGAAAGAACCAAACCAGAGACGCCAGCAGGAACTTATCCCACATCACACCGAGCTGGTGGCCATCTCCAGGAATCCTTTGTCGACATCCCAAGTCCCTCTCAGCCATCGCTCCAGCATCGTGGCAGGACAGAGGACAACCACGTTGTGTCCCACAGATGTTTGCACACACACACGTGAGTCAGACACCTCCACCCAGCACGGGAGCTCTGGTACTGGTTTTTCACCTTGCCCCCCTCTCTCTCAAGGGCACACGGTTTCTGTCTGGAAGATCTGTGCCTTGTCTCCTCTTGGATCCCGACCGAGGCCTGCACATGGCTCGGAGCTGCCTCCAGAAACCCATATGTGCACATACAGACCATAATCAGAGTCGTCATGCCAGGAGCACGACGACATTCCTGCTACAGAACCGACACAAAAAGAGGCAAGTTCTGCACCAGAGGGTTTTAAGAGGAAATCCACTGATGGGATGGGGCACGTTGGGACAAGCTGTATCTTGCTCCGCTTGGATTGGGGTTTTGGGGCGGATGATCCGCCGAGTGCAGGAGTTTTGCTGGTTTCGTGTTCAGCCCAACTGGCACATGACCCAAACCAAGAGTCTTCTGGCCACCAGCACCTCAAATTCCACGCAGGGTATGGAAATCCAGCTGTGCTGTGCCATCAGCCGCTCCGCGGTTCCCGATTTCGTCTCGCTGCTCCAGGGATGACACATACGGCAGACTTGACTCCAGCTGGCCCCATTGTATTGGATCCACAGTGACAGACAACAGGAGCCAGAAACTTTTTGTTCAAGTGGAGCCAGCAGATGTGACACTGAATAAACACAGACAGTCAATCTGCTGAGTAAGAAGGTATCGTTCATATAAATAACATACATCTAATCCTGCTTCCATTTTAAACCCAAATATGGGAATGCAAGATGCTCGGAGCTCTGCAGACTTAGGCTTTGAACAATGAGATAAAGCAAAAGCAGATAACACACAGCCCCTTCTCAGCTCAGCTTCCTTCTTATTTCGCTTTTCTGCCCGGAATTATTATCGGATCTTTCTCCAGGAAGAGCTTCCCACGGAGCGCTAACAGCGTGTCCAGGTTAATGTCAGATGGGATAAGTTTGCCTCACCAAAATATCTGCTTTCTGCCGATGGACCTTAATTACAGAGCAATTAGAAGTATTATTCCAATCATTTTAACCTCACACGTTTCAAAACCAGGCGCTGCACCCACTGAGGGGTCTCTCGTGGTCTCGGTGACGGGACCTGTTGGTCTCTGAAATGACACATTTCCCACCTATTGGAGAAGTTTGCAAATTTGCAGCTGCCAAAAAAAATGATTTCATTAGAGAGGCGGTAATGAGGTGAATTAGCACAGGAGAAAACCTCCCCTTTAGAGGTGGCTGCAATATTGACACGAGGTCGGGGCCTTGTTTCAATTCATCTGCTCTCAGAAAGCAAGAGAAACCCGGTAGGTGAGTTTGATACAGATAATTATTCTACCAGAAGCCACTGAAGATAAAAGCACAGGTACAACATAATCCAGTCCTCAGGGTGCATCCCCCAGGGATTACTCCTTAAGAACCTCTGGAAGACAAGGAAATTTTTAATTGTGTTAAAAATCTGCCTCGCTGAAAAAATAAATGAGTAAGAGAGGAGTGTCACTGAGACTAATTACACTCGATATCACTCGATTACCCACTCAGAGGGATCACTCCATCCTTCCCCAAAACACAGCCACCAGTAGGATGCGATGATGGAACACCAGCAATTAAAAAAAGGACGTAGAAAAATCAAATATTATTACATTTTCCACGGGATTAACCTCCACTCTCGTTAGAGACTCATTTATCTATTTTTTTTTCCCCTGTTTTCTAGCGAGCTCCTCCAAGACAAACAGCAATTTATTTGTTCCCTGAGAACCCTGGGCCTGGAAGATGCAGCCATCTGTCAGCGGGAAGGAGCTCTCCGAGCACGGCTGTGTCTCATCAAACCCTTCCTAGATTCTAATTTGCCACCTCGCTTGTCAAAGGAAACCAAACAGCTTTGAGTTCTATGTGTAGACACACGACTGATTCCAGAGTACGAGATCAGACACACAGAGCAGGGCCAGGACAAGCAAAAAAGCAGGATTTTGTGCCCCAGGAAGTGCTTCTTGTGACCCCAAGTGTCTGCTTTGCCAAGGGGCTCCTTTGGGAAGGGAACTCGTGTGGACATCACGAAATGTGCTACGGGTCTTCTGAGGTGTCGCTGTCATATAATTCAGACTCCCAAAATAAACAGACAGAGGGCATTTCCACCCTTGGAAAGCCACCAAGCCATTCCTGAAGATCTTGAAATTCAGACCTGCCCTTACAGGACCCTGCAGAAGGACACCAAACCTCCCTTGTCTGTTCAGGTTCAGTTTCGAGCCCAGAATTGCTTGATTTTGACCACTGTCTCCAGGATGGGCCACTCAGACTTTGCTTTTTTTCCCTCCCCTGGGTTTCACCTTCTCAGAAGAACCTCCTCAAAAGCTGTCTGGAAAAATGAAGTTACACCAGCTGATCACACTGAACCCCCAACCTTGCCAACCTCCTCAAAAACTCCACCGAGTTCACCCAGATCCCCCCACTTTAGGGACACACAGGAAGCAGGTTTGGGAATTTTGCCTTTTCCCTGTATCAATGCCATTGTATAAAACCCAGAGTTTGGTCCTGCAGTGTGCACAGCGAGATCTCCAGATTAAAATATATATAAATTAAAAATGTAATAAATTGAAAATAAAATCGACAGATTAAACCACATACTTACACACACCACGTATTAGAGGAGAAGGGAGAAAGGTGAGGGTTGTTATTAGAATATGGAAATGAAATTAAGAGAAATTTGAACAAAGCAGAACTGGATGGATGATCTCCACCCAAAAGAATCCTCCTCCAAAAAAAAAAGAGGTAAAGAAAACAAGCTGAGACACAACAAAATCCACCAAAAAGATGGGCAAAATCACCCCTTTCTGTCCTACCAGAACCACTGTCCAGGTGACCTTGACTTGGGAGCATCTGGTCCAGGTTCATCCTCAAACATCCCAGGGAAACCCAAGAGTATGGGAACGTCTCCCAGGAAAACACACAGCAAACATCAACTCTGCAAAGCTTTCTAGTGCAAATTCACCTGGTCAGAGAGGGGATTTTACCACCAGTGGACACCTTCCACTAGCCCAGGTTGCTCCAACCTGGCCTTGGACACTTCCAGGGATCCAGGGGCAGCCACAGCTCCTCTGGGCAACCTGTGCCAGTGCAGGAAGGAATGAGGGATTTGTTTCCAGGTGGTGTTGCCTGAACTTGTCCACTCTGTGGTCAGACAAGCCCCAGGGCAAGGGATGGAGGATTCCCCACGCTGCCAAAAATGCTCCTTCAACTCTCACTGCCTTGCACTGGACACAGAATCATGGAATCATGGAATGGGTTGGGTTGGAAGGGACCTTAAAGCCCATCCAGTCCCACCTCCTGCCATGGGCAGGGACACCTTCCACTAGCCCAGGTTGCTCCAAGCCCTGTCCAACCTGGCCTTGGACATCTCCCAGTCCTGTTGAACACTAAACCTCCCCTAAGGTAAGAGCAGCTCCAAGCCTTTCATGTGTAGGGTTGGTTTTATTCTGGCCCAAGTGTTCTCATCCTCTTCAAACAGCAAAAAAATCTCTAAAATCTGCAAAGTGCTCTGCATCCTCAGGTAATCCCGTGATTCCTCCCTGGAATTGTGATGTTCTCCCTCTGTCACGTCACCGCCCGGAGCTGAGCTCCACGGGGAGGTTGGAGGCTTTGGAAAATTCATCTCAGACTTTGATCTGAAAGCAGAATCTTCATTTTGATGGTGTAAGAACAGCTGCTTTATTTTCTGCTGTTCCCCCGGCTGCACACACAAAGTACTCAAAGCTAACATCATGATACACCTCATCCTTATGTTTTTTGGGGAAAAAAAAAAAAAAGCTGATTTAGAAGAAAAACATTATTTAAAGTTGCATTGGGTCTTTTTTCCCCCCCTGCCAACACAGTGAAGTTCCCCACTAGCTACACGGAGCAGTTCAGCTCCCTGGGGCTTGAGATTTGCTTGCAGGTGTATTTTCATCTTAAAACTACCCCACCCCAAAACAAACAAACAAAAAAAAAAAGAAAAAGGGAAAATAAAAAGGAAAAAGCAGCTGCCCTTCACTGAAAGCAAAATCCCAAGTTTTCTGGCCAACAGGCAGAATCACAAGCAGAAATATTCCTTCTGTGTGTTCCCCATCACTCTCAGTCACTATTTCATGAAAGCAAAGGACTGAAATAATTCTGGACAACATTAAACGGAAAGAAAGGACCAGAAATCCAAACTCCTGCTACAAACAGGTAAATAACTAAGGAAAAACTATGGAAAAAGGTGGTTTTGAGTGCAAAACTTTCACAAACCCACCCAGCTTCACGTCCTCTGTGGAATTAATATTTGCTCTCTCATCTCCTCCCCTGCATTTTTTTTTTTTTTTTTCCATGAAGAGCTGTAGGAATTTTCCTTCTGGGAAGATTAAATCAGTGGCAAGTTTGCCAGAAACCAGTCCAGGGGCTCACCAGTTACTGGAGGGAGATGGGAGGTGCGGATTCACCGATGGATAACACAAAGCGAGTTTCAGTTTGGATTTAACAGTCGGGCAATCAATCAACTGTGAGACACAAATCCACTGGAGACCCGGGTTCATTACTTGTGCTGTTCACAGAAGAAATTGTTTTTAATCTAAAGCTGTCTAATAACCAGCACTTTCCCAAACCCAAGGTGTGTGTATTTTACCTCAGTCACAAAGAGAGTGCGGGGGTCGATGATGTCCAAGAAGTGCCTGAATCTGCCATAAAATGAAGTCTGGAAAAAACAGGAAAAGGAAACAAAACATGGTCAGTGAGAAATTGCCTTTCACCTGCTGCAGAGAAAGGTTTTATTTCCTTTGCAGAATTAAGTAGCAACTAAAAATAAATACTATAGAACGTATTTAAAGGGAATTTTTGATAGGAAGTCTGGAAGATAAAAGGTGAGGACTTGAACCCTGATGATGGGACACCAATCCAGATGCTTTAATAAAGGGATACCAGCAAGCTGCTAAAATATCCTTTACTTTTTCCCCCCAAAAATGAAATATTGCCTGTGGGACTCCTGGGAAATGCTGAAGCCACAAAAATCCAACATGCAGCTCCAGACCTCTCACACTGAGCAACATTCCCGAGGGAATTCCCATCCTGCAATGTCTTTAACACAGTCCCTGTGCTGTTCATCCCCATTCCTGCCAACATCCACCTTACAGGACCAGCAGCACCACAGGGTCATGGATTTTGAGGATAGACCACCATGAAGTGAGAGGTTGTGGATTCTGCATCCCTGGAAGTGTCCCAGGGCATGTTGGACAGGGCTTGGAGCAACCTGGGCTAGTGGAAGGTGTCCCTGCCCATGGCAGGGGGTGGAACTGGATAATTTTCAAAATCCCTTCCAACGCAAACCATTTTAGGATTCTCTGGATCCCTTTCTGGTCCTTCAAACACTTGCTGCTCCCAGCAAGAGCATCTTCCTACAGCGTCATCCCTACACAAACACATCCAGCTTGGATTTTTCCAAATGTGCACTCTAAGAACAAGCCCAGGGCTTTGTCCAACCTGGCCTTGAACACTTCCAGAACCAGGAAGAGAGTCTGAAAGAAGGGGGGAGAGATCTGTGAAACAGGAGGGGAAGATCATGGGCAGCTCCAAAGGAAAGGAGAAAAGGAGACTCAGTATTTAGAAAATAAAAATGTAATTTATGCAAACTCAAAGCACCGGACCATGAAATGCTGATATATTAAGAGCACTCAGGATACATTTACATCATCACTCCAACATCAGTCTGGATTCTTTGATCTGGATGCAGGTGAGTGCCAGACCCTCATCCGGACACCGGCAAGGCCAAGTGGACGCAGGACACTCTGCTCCAGTGGCCCCTCTCTGTCCTGTGGTTTCTCCCCAGCAAAATTCCCAGCACACCATGGATGTGGAAAGGACCACAGCCAGGGAGATCACGCATTTCCACATCCCCTCAAACGCCAGGACCCCTCTGTCCGGGTGTTCTCCAGCCACGTGCCGGCAAATCTCCTGCTGCCTTTTTAACGCAGGGATGTGCTATAAATAAAGGACTGGAGTGTGGATACAGCACCGAGAACAGCATTTAATCACTGCCTGGCAGCGCCCTCTGAAACGTGCTGCTTCTCCTCTGCTCCATCCATCAAGCACAGAGAAGCACCAGGCATTCTGCCTCCTTATTCCAGCAGAAATCCCTCTCCAAGGGCCGTTCCCAGCCTTGAGCCGCAAACCCCGTCCTCACAAACGCCTCACGACACCCCTGCTCACAAAACTCTCTCTCTGTTATTTTATCATGTTCTGCTCTAAAAAAAAAAGAAAAAAAACAAACCACAATTAAACCAAATCGCTGCACACAACTTTGGGGGGGGGGGGAGAAAAAAAAGCACAGCGGTTTTTAATTAGCATGGATTTAATTAACACTAATTCTGGTACTTTCTAGCGTCCCCGAGCTTGACATTTTGCCGCCTCGCTCTTTGATTTTGAGGGTGAAGCTCCCTGCAGATGCCACTGTCCTTCCCATCCTTCCCATCACCGCTGCCCGGCGCTTCCCAGTGGTGCAGGGAGGGATGTGACTAATCCCTGACTCACCGGGCCCCTCCTGACGTTCTCCCTGATCCTCATCTCCCACATTCCATCGGCCCTCTCCCACTGCCCGTCCCTCAGCACTCGCTCCATGCCAAGGAGACACCAGAGAATCCGGAGCAGTTGGAATTACGTGTGGTTTAAACAAGAACAGAATGGGGGGGGGTGTTTAAATTTAAGTGGTCTCGACTTCTCCACCGCTTTTATCTCTGTGATATTCATCTCACGGGGAGAAAAACAACACTGAGTAGAATTAAACGGAGCATCAATACTTTACACCCACTAAACCAAGGTGTAAATGTCAGGGAAGAAGGAAGGAGACCGTAAGTCCAAACATGCAGGATATAAATGTTGTTTTTTGAAGTGCAGATTTCAATTCCCGAGCTGTCCAGGCTCTCAGGGAGCCGATCCTGTATCCCAGGGTCGTGGTTTGGTTAGTTCAGCTCCAGCCCTGGGCTCCAGGCCTGATCCTGCCTGGTCAAGCTCAGCTACACCCAGCTAAGGACAGGTTTGAGCAGGTCCAACCCATCCTGACGTAATCCCATTCCCACACTCCCTGCTCCTCTCCTGCCCAGTGCCGGCGCCGACCCGGTGCTTTAACTGAGTGCCCAAATTCTAATCCTCAAATCATGGAATCACAGACTGCTTTGGGTTAGAAGGGGCCTTCAAGACCATCTCATTCCACCCCCTGCCACAGGCAGGGTCACCTTCCACTAGCCCAGGTTGCTCCAACCTGGCCTTGGACACTTCCAGGGATCCAGGGGCAGCCACAGCTTCTCTGCCCAACCTGGGCCAGTGCAGGAAGGAATGAGGGATTTGTTTCCAGGTGGTGGTGCCTGAACTTGTCCACTCTGTGGTCAGACAAGCCCCAGGGCAAGGGCAGGTCTGTTCCAGTGGAGTCAGGACAACAGCTCTCGGGATACCACAAGGAACTTCATGGTGCAAGGTCACCTAGGGCCAATTACTCACCTGGGAGCAGACAGGGCTGTCCCAGTGCCTGCTTCTTCCATCCCTACTTTTTAAAAAAATAAAGGAATCACCCTCTTGCTACGGTTACTTCAAAGAAAGGACAATGGGAATGCCAAGTGCTCCTTCCCTAGGCTGGAACACAAGGAGGAAGCCAGTTCTGAAGAACATCTTTTTAGCAAGGGCAAGCTGTGACAGGACAACAGGACAAGGAGGGATGGCTTTAAGCTGAAATAGGATAGATTTAGATGGGATTTTAGGAAGAAATTCTTCCCTGTGAGGGTGGTGATGCCCTAGCACAGGTTGGGCAGAGAAGCTGTGGCTGCCCCTGGATCCCTGGAAGTGTCCAAGGCCAGGTTGGAGCAACCTGGGCTGGTGGACAGTGTCCATGTTCACGGCAGGGGGTGGGACTGGATGGTCTTGAAGGTCCCTTCCAACCTAACCCATTCCATGATTCTGTGATCTCTGACCTTCAGGAATGCACAGGGAGCAGGTGAGGAGCTCCAGCCCATCCTCCCTCCCCTGTAACAGGCAACAAGACCCAACTCAGCACTGTGGTTTCCTCTTTCTTTCTGCGGTACCACGAGCTCTCTAAAACACAATTTCAGGAACCTGCTTTTAGGAGCTGCCCTGACATGAAAAACTCTTACAAATCTGTGGTGCTCAACCCCCCCCCACCCTTTCCAGTAGAAGGGTTATTGTCACCCCGAGGCTCAAACTTTGTCACCTCGACTAAAGCCAAAATCTTCCCGCTCTCTTTCCCAGATCCCAAGAAACGGGAGGAGCTGCACTCCCGTGGCAGTGATTGATCCTTCAGTGCATCCTGATCAGCTCAGCATTCCTCATCACACCTGGGGACAGCACAGAAGACAAGCCATCAGCAGAACTCCTCCCTCTGCTGCCTCTAGTCCAGGGTCCTTCCAACAAGGAAATGGAACGTCCTTCACTCCCACCAGGCCGAGATTTTAAAGAGAACGCCAAAAAAAAAAAAATAGGAATATGAGTCTGAACAAGTTTTGCTTTGCTTTGTTAAACTCTGATGAATAAGAGCCTCATTTCTCCACAACAAAAGCCCTCTGAGAACCACATCAAATGGAACCAAGGTCAAACCAAGAGCCACGTTGTCTTCTTGAGGCTCCATCTCACCGTCACCACCCTGTATTTCACTCCTGCAGTGTCTTTACCACGACTGTACAACCCCTGAACAAAAAAATACCCATTTTTTTTCCTGCTGTCCAGCCATAGGACTTTGCATTTTTCCTTTTTGGATGACTATGGAAAGCTGCTTCACTGTTAGACCTTGTTGGTC